GATACAAGAAAGACCTATTTTAAACTACTTGCTTTGGTAGTACTTAAAAATGTATTATAATCATGTACAATAAAAAATTTTAAAACACTTAAAAAAAGAGATGAGTGCAAAAGTGAAGAGCAATCCTTTAGAAACTCTTGTGGCAATTTAATAATTTGTGTCTATTGAATTTATTTAAAAAGGATACTTTTATCTCACAGGTCTTTTTGAAAACATCTTTATCTTAAAAAAAACTGTGATAAAATATAAAACAAAAAATCTATCCACCACCCTGGTGCTGGGGATTGAACACAGATGTGCTAGTGCATTCTCAGCCAGGCCTCAGTACCATTGTGTTCTCAGTACCAATGTGTCCTGTGGGTCAACTGACATAGAGAACATGATGATTAGGAAGAGAAGGATGAGCCAGCACCTACTGACCTGCTATCTGGACCACAAATTCTTTCTTCTGGATCAGCAGAGGGCTCTGGATGGAGCAAGACATGTTGCGATGGGCTTCACCTTGGACAACCACAGATGTTTCCAGATTGAACAAGCCCTTGACATCTTGGGTAATGACTTCAGACTCCAGTGGCAGGCACTGTCCCTGGTGATCTTTCCACTGAACTTTGGGTTTGGGGTACCAGCCATTGGAGGTGCATCTCATCTGAATGCCTCCTTCCTTAAAGCCTTCAATGTAGATATGTGGATCTGAGCCCAGCCCTGGGAGAGGCAGAAAGAGTGAGAATGATCAGGCACCTTCCCAGTAGTTGTGTGGGACATTCATGCAACTGTTGCAATCTCCATAAGGCACCAGGAGCAGAGACTGTTCTTAATGTGTGTGGGCTTTTGTAGCAATCATCCCACCCTCCATGGATTGCAAATGATAGTCTAGATTGGCAGTGGCATGTGGGGACAGTAATACCTTGAAGGACATTTGGAATGGAGAAAGCCTTAGTTGTGTTATTCAAGGGACAGTCTTTCTAGAATAAAGAATTTTTCTACCCCAAATTCCAATAGGTTGTCCTCTGTCTTGATTCTCTAAAGCGCAAATGCTTGTGTTATATGTGCTATTATTGTAGATTATATATATATATAGCCCTGTTCTTGTAGAAACAGGAACACCATCACACCACCCCACACCACCCTGCCGTCACTCATCTTGTAGTGTTAGCATTAAACCCAGGGCCTTGCACATGCTTGGCAAGTGCTCTACTCCTGAGCTGTATCCCTAGCCTCTTTCTTTGTTTCCTTTTGCAATGTTCCTCCTTCTTCTTTTCCTATACACAAAAACACACATTATCCAACTTTCTCATCATTTTGATTTTTTTCTCTTAATACATTCAAGAAATTCCTCCACACTCATTCATAGAGATCCTCATTTTTTTTTCTAGCAGCAGAGAGTGTATCACTACATTGTGTGTGCACCATGCTCATCATCTATGTGTGGACATTTAGGCAGTTTCCACTATTTTGCAATTACAAAAATTACTACAAAGATTAGCATAAATGAATGCCTTTTTCATATTGAAAGTGTTGGTGATATATCTTTAGGTTAAACCCCTGGAGGTGGGATTGCAGTGTCTAAGGACAGATGTACAGGAAGTCCTGTTATTTATTGCCAAATTCCTCTGTCCTCAAGCTCCTGGACTTTGAATTCCACTAACAAAACAGCAGAAGCCCTGACCCCCAAAAGCTCCACCAAGAATGTGGGGTCAAACTTTTGAATTTTTGTCACCTTGTAAGATTAAAAGATTACATCTTTATATAACTTTAATTTGCCTTTCTCTCATTTTAAGTAAAAATGATAACCTTTTCATGTGTTAAGGATCACCGTTGTGTGTGTATGTGTATGTGTGTGTGTGTGTGTGTGTGTGTGTGAGAGAGAGAGAGAGAGAGAGACTGTTTGCTTTTCTTGTCCATTTGCAAATAGACCTATCCTTTATTTAAAAAAAAAAAATCACCCCCCCAACAAATTAGGAATTTTCACTGATAGTATATTTACTTGAGCAAAGCCGCCCTATCTAAATTGATCATTTTCTCCTCTGTCCCTGCTGGTGCTTGGCCACAGCACGAACCTGCTACCTCCAGCTCCCAGATGGCTTCACCAGAGAAGTTGTTGGAGAGAAAGCTGCATCCATACAGGCCCTCGTCTGATGGCACGACGCTGCGGAGCAGCAGGACGACTTTGCCAGAGCTGATCTCCGTCGTGACGAGTTTGGTCCTGTTTTGGAACTGCGCCATCTGTCGGTCGAAGAGCTCCTGCCGCCCCTTGTACAGGTGCACTACATCCGAGGGCTGGCTCTGGAACCAATGGATCTCCATGTCTTCAGCGTCCAGGAGCGGTGACAATTGGCACGGGAAATCCACCTCTTCCCCGACAATGGCCAGTATGGATTCCCCAGGGCCTATCACCTTGACCTCCTCTAGGATAACAAGCCAGAGTAATGACCCAAATCAATCTTCAAATATAATTATATCACTTTGCAGTTTAGAAATCTGTAATAGACTATTCAAACGATAAAGATGAGACCCTCTGTGAAGAAAATCTACCCGGTTTATTGAACAAGTAACTGATAATGAAAAAAAATGAGTGCACAGGCTAAATCACATAAGGTACATGACAACCAGAGACAATGTGTGGTGCTGGACTGTTTATAGGTTTGAACCAACCAGGTATAGATGTTATCTGGGGGAATATGTAAATCTGGCCAGGGAATTAAGTGAAATGCAATGCTAGGCTAAGAAAAAGAAAGTTTCAAAACCAATATGAAAACTATTCTACGATCTTGGGTAAAAAATGAATATTTACATAACCGTTCAGAAAAAAAAGATGGAAAAGGAGAGACACCAAATTGTTGTGGTGGTAATTTCTCCATAATAGGACTATTTACTTATTTCCATTTGTCAGCTTTTACAATTAAAAATATACCATGCACATATAGCTCTTCTAAAAACAAAAATATTTAAAATAATCTATGAGGGCTTCCTGATCCATGGATTTTCATAAAGACTACCCATTTTATTTTCAGAGTAAGTCTTACATATGAGTTTATTAAATACATGCATATGGAAATATAGATGCCATGAGTCATATAGCTTGAATTCATGGAAAATTAACTTTTTGAGTAACAGAATATGAAGAATATATGAATACACAATTTTTTGGTCGCAGAAGACTCTTTATCCCAAGGCTACATTCCCTATATAGTTTTGGACTCAGAGATAACTCTGGGGAAGAGGAACAAATATTTTCTGGTACTTATGAATATTTCTCCATGTAATTCTTATTAATAATTTTGAAAATGTCTTTTCCTATTACTGTCATTGACAAACTCTAGAAAGTCTACAGTATAGGAAAACTCATAATTTGACAGAATCTAACAAAGCAAGGCAATTGTTTTAGGAAAAACACATTAAAACAATTGATAATGAATAGAAGACTTTTAATATGAGTTCCTTAGTCATTGTATGGCAGAAAATTTCCCTGAGAACTGGCTGCTGAAGAATCCTTCTTTAATAGTACTCTTTTTCTTCTCAGAAATTGTATTCCTCCAACAACAAATGCCACTTAATCTATCATACATAAAATTTTTCATAATAAAATAATTTAAATATATACTTTCCTATTCAAAAGAATGTGTCTATTACCACCAAATAATTCCAACTTCAGAAATAAAACATCCACTTTTAAATTGTAATTTGTTTCTATCATATTAACTAGAATTATTAAATATATTTACAAACATAGATAAGCAGATAATGTAATGAATCTAAAATTCTAAAGAATTGTAATGTTGTGGTATTATCAGAAGCTCAGCATATTTATTACTGATCTCATGTTTTGTTGTCTGTCTTAACAGTGTTTCTCTGGTATATGGCATTTATTTTAGGTAGTAACATACATAGGCCAGTGACATACATAGGCCCTAAGTTCATGCTTGGGTCCTCCACATAGACTCTCGCAAATGCAAATCTATTATAGCAGTTTTCCAAAATTTTAGTATGTACTTACCTTTCAATAATTAGTTCTTTTTCCTTTTTTCATCATTTCAATATTGACCGTCATCACAGAAGTATAAGGGATAATTGCAATTGCCATAATTCTTCCTCCTTTGTCTTTTTAATGTCTCTTTAAGATACAATTTGTTATTTTTTTGTACTAATGTTAAGTATTTCACAAACTTTCTCAGAAGTCGTCAGTGAATATTTATCAAAAGTCTCAACTTTTCCTTTTGTAAGTCTCTCAGGAATTACTGTCAAGGGGCATGTGTTTTGTGTGGTTTTTTTTTCCCCCCACATTAATAAGCCTTTTTATTGTTGCCTTTTGTTTTTTTTTAACCGAAGATCCCTTACTGGTCCTGCTTCCATGAATGGTCATACCAAGAGAATAGGGAGGGGAACCAGGTGGCTTAGGGAGAGATCATCTCCACAATATTCCATTTATACACAGAACTAAATAGACAAGCACAGAGTCACTATTGTGGTTAGAAGTTGGCAGCATGGGATAGGGAGGAATAGGTAGGAAATAGGGATGTCATTAGAAAAAATACAGCGCCCCCCCACCCCCAAACTAGGAGAAGACTTGGCCTGTTTCAACCCAAGAGGAATAGAGGATCTAAAGCAATTTGGGAAGGCCAGAACCTTCAGGGATAGAGGGAAGAAGAAGGTCCAGGGGGAAGATCACCCAAATTTTGCTGTTGAAACTTAATATATCATGATTTTTCATTTGATCATTCTCTTCCTCCATGGTGTCTTCATGTGGTCACTCTGCTCCCCCAAACTCATATATTTCCTTCTTTCCAAGTTCAGTTAAAACCTCTGTCCAAAGTCCAATCACCCTGGATTCCTTTCCATCCTTCACTTTGTCCATAGACTATGGACACATCTTTCTTTGTGTAATTTGAGATTCTTGTTGCCTAAGAAGTGAATCGCCAACATCAACCTGGCAGCTTTCTTCTCCAGGGTCTCCCAACTATCTCACCAAACATTCAATGTTTGGTTCTCTTCCCTGCCTCAGTTTACCCTCCATCTTCATTTTCCTGGGGAATGTACACCCTGAGTGGCACTGCACAAACAGTACCTCTTCTCTGTGCCTCTCCTTGCTTCTTGGGGAAAGAGAATTGCTCTTAGTTGTGCTTAGCTGTCACCCCAAAGTCTTTGGACATGGTTTTCTTGCAGTTGTTTATGTCACATACATTCTGCTCCATTGACCATGAGCTGCTTAAGGATCTGACCTATGCCTCAGTCACTCTGATATCCCTGGTTCCCAGACAAAGATATTAGGAAATTTCATTTGCATAATTAATTTGCATTTTCTTTCTTCTTCTCCTTCTCCTTCTTCTTCACCAGAGATCAAACCCAGGATGCTTAACCACCGAGCCACACCTTGAGCCCTTTTTTTATGTTTTATTATGAAACAGGACCTCACTAAATTTCTGAAACTGGCTTTGAACTTTTGATTCTCCTGCCTCCTGAGCCACTGGGATTCAAGTGTGTACCACTGCACCTGGCTGATTGCTTCTTTTGTGAATGGTAGAATTGGGTGAAATTTTCCCTGTTCTTCAAAAGCTCTGCAAGTGATGGAGTTAAAAATATTTACTAACTGGTTAAGCATAAACACAGATCAAGAAGAGTTTCCTAGCACCTTTCTGCCTTGTTTTTTGCATGCCCAACTTCATGGTCCTAGGAAGTGTAAGAGGGGTCCTAGGGGCTGGCAAAATGGTGGAGAGGCATGAAGTGGCTGAATGGTGCTCAGGGGAAGCGGCTCTTTAAAAACTGGGATGGGAATCTCTTTGTATTTTAGCAAGTGGCAATGACTGGTCCTGTTTTATAAGATCTCAGCCCTGGAAGCACTTGGCACAAGAGGTAGGCAGAGCTGAGGTGCTCATGTCCTGGTTGGATGAGCTACAGAGTGGTGCAGGTCAGAAGCATTACCTGAATTTGCCTCCTCATGCTGAAGGAAAAGGAGAAGGTAGGTGAGGAAGAAGAGATTGCTGGGCAGAGGTACTTGCTTCAAAAAATCCACGGATACTGGGAAATCCTCCATTAGCAGTAAGGGCCACCTGGAGAGAGACAAAGGGGTGACACATGGCAGCTTGACTTGGCCCATAAGGCCTGTGATCTGTTGTTGCCTCAATCATTATTATTATTATTATTGTCAGATATAATTCTTGAGTTTCTTACAAATGTGCCAGTACCTGGCTTTTTTTAAACCAGGACCGGATGTGAGATCTGCTTCTATTTTTACCAAGCAACATTGTTAATAACATCATTGGCCTTGCTCTACCTTACACAGCTTCAAGAGGACAGGCCTGAGCATCCCAGAGGAAGCAGCTCCTGAGCTAATATTGTTCAGAGCCAGGAATAGAGCCATACATTGTGTGGGGGCTCAGCACCACCCTCCTCTGGAGTTAGTGGAGTTCCCCAAACAAAGGGAAATCTCTGAAGAATCTGATTCTTTTATTCTCCTTTCCTCACCACCACAAGCCCAAGCTTGTTTTCAGTTCTATTTGTCCTGGAACATCAGGTCCACAAAACAGAGGAAAAAACATAGTTCTACTCTTTTTTTTTTTTTCCAAAATGGAGTATGCTCCTGGTGGCTGCCTGCCAACTCTAGTAACATTCTGGGAAATGTCTGTCCAGGCCTGAGATCTCAGGTGGTTGCTTCCAGGGGGTCAACTGGCCACTGTTCCTGTGTTTGTAGAACCTTTGAGGCCTCAGTGATGGAGTCATTCCATCTAGACATCCCTTCTTCCACCTATAGTCCAGAAGAACCAATCCCAGCTCAGACAAGGGCTGACCCCTTTAACTCTAGAGTCCCCTTGGGCCTATAGTAGCATCTCAGAGTCTGATGGCCGATGAGCATCTTTGAATTCATACAAGCCTCTCCATATTTCTCCTTCATTTAGTTGTAGGATCTTAGGCAGTTTTTGTCACTGGATGAACCTCAATCTTTGCTTGAACAATGGGAGAAACCACTTCCATCTCTTCCAGAGACTGCCTCTCTCTCTTTTCACTCCTCTCTCTCTTTTCACCCTCAGAGGGGGAGAGTCTACAGTGAGTTTCCACTCTCCAGTTCTCCTCAGTTCCCTCCTCTGCCTTCTGCCTTCATATTCCTCACTATTTGGTTTTCCTTCTGCAGACTTTTGGCATGGTATGTGCTTCCAGCATCCTGTGTGGCTTTAGTGCCTCAGCCACACTGTCAGCAATACTGCAGGCAAGGTGTTGATGGAGGAATTTAAAGGCCACTGGGTCATGCAACAGAAGAGCAGTCAAAGAGTATTATTACTACTATTACTAATAAGTCTAAATTTCAGATAAGAACCGAGTAGCTAAGGGACTTGCCCCTGCACACACTGAGCTGGGAAGGATTCAAGGCTGACAGGAATACAATGGGAGGGAGAAGCAATGGCCTGAGAAGTGAGTGGGCCAGGTAATGGTGGTCCCAGAGCTCAAACGTGGTAGGAAAAAGCAGGGGGACAAGTCAGCATGGCTTCATTTTTATGCCTCAGATTCCTCAAAGGGAGACGTCAGCATCCCCTCTGGAAGGGGCCAGGCTGTTTTAAGAGCCAGTAATTATTGGAATAATTTTTTACACAATAATTAGCACAAACTGAGGCCTTAGGCGGGGTCAAAGCTCTGGCAGGACAGTCTGATCTCTTGCCTTTTGTAGCAGATGGCAGGAAAGTCTCTGTGACAAGCCTGGAAACGAGGAGTGAAGTAGAGCCCACACTGGCTTTGCATTTCCTCATCTTCTTTATTCTCCTTTCTTCCCTTTTGTGCCTCTATCTTTTCTTTGGGGCTCTAGATATAGATTAGAGCTGCATGGGGGCAGAGCCATGAGGAGCATATCAGTGTCCAGCTAACGCCTTCTAAAAGAAGAGGAGCTCAGACTATGTTTAGAGACCCATTTGTATGAGCCAGATTCTGAGAAATTAGTCATGACATGTTTTAGGTGGTAACATCCATCCTCCCATGAGGAGGTGATAGTAATAAGAGCTGGGAGCAGGATGGCCTCCCAGAATGAGCACCTGCTCTAATTACCCTAGGCAGGGGGATGCTGCCATTTCCCAATGGGGCAAGAGATTGGGGCAGTGTGCTCCAGAACTGTGGCATTGTTAGAGGATTGCAGTTCTCTGTTGTGATATACCCATGTGCTTCTCATCACTGAGACTACAGGAGAGGCGGTTGTGAACACATATAAGCACACAAACATGTGCATGAGCCCACAGTAATAAAAACTGATACTTATTATCTATCAAGCATTCACCTGTACCACGAATATTATTACTACTATTACTAATAAGTCTAAATTACAGATAAGAACTGAGTGGCTAAGGGACCTGCCCCTGCACACACTGGTAGTGAGTAGTGTAGTAAGGTTTCCTTCACCTGAGCTGTCTGGTTCCAGAGCCTTACTCTGTGCTTCTGTCCATATAGATTCCTTATCAATTGTGTTGTGTGTCAGGTCACCCTCAGCCACTCCTGCAACCCAAGACCATGATTGCTGTAAGGAACTACCCAAACTTTTACTCAGATCAGCTATCTCACAGATGTTCCAAAGAAGAGACTGGGTCACAAGGTGTCAGCCACAAAACCAAGCAAGTGAAAATCAATGAATACAAATTTAAAAATCAATGAATACAAATTTAAAAATCAATGAATACAAATTTAAAAATCCCACTGCCAAATAAAACAGCTTAAGCCAGAGCCTCCTTAACAGTGTCAACAGCATCTGCTAAGGCAGGAGGCATAGGTGTCAGTTCTATTATTAAATACTAAAGACATTACCTTGAAAGATTTTAATTGGAGGAAATGTTTGGCAATTTCCTGAAGGGAAGAGTCAGTGACTTCAGAGGGGTCCAAAACAGTAGTACCTCTTTCCCATTTGGCTGCCTGAAGTTTGCCCTTTCTAACCTTACTCTCCAGTTCAAAGACTCTGGTCCTTATTGAAATACACATACTACAAGGCACAGTCAAATGAATTTCAGATTCTGGTTCTGGTGAAGAGGTTTTGATGAGTGGAAGGAATAAGAGGCTGCACATGCTGGAAGAACACAGTGAGAAGAAGGATGGCCAAAAAGGGGGCCTCAGACTGAGCTCTGCCATGCTTGTGGGATCCATTTCCCTTGTTCTCTTGGGAACCTGTGGGTCATTTCCTTCTGAGGACACAAAGAGTAATAGGAGCTCGTGCACACTGAAATACTGCCACCCTCCACTCAGGGGAAGTCCATTTCTCTCCTTCCCCCTTTCTCTTTCTTCTCTCTTTTTCCTTCTCCCTCTTTCCTTTTCCCCAGCCCAGCCCTATGCCTATTCTTTCCTCCTGAGTTTCCAATTCCTAAGCAACATCCTGTGTTCTCTTGACTTGCAGTCCCTTAGCACTTGAGTCTTTCTTTAGATTACTTATGTTTTGCTTTGCTGCCTTTGCAAATTGTTTTACAGGTGTGCATTCTGCCTTCCTCTTATCCCCATGTCCTAAGCTGTGTCTATTCTCCCATCTTCCCCCTCAAGCACCCAGTGGGATGTTTTGCCCTCAGCAGCCACCAGTAATTGCTCACTGGCCTGCACTGGTTTGATTTCCATAGATCCAAAAAAGGATTTCTACCCTTTTTAAGGGAAATGGATCACCTCAATAAGGGGGCCTCAATGAGGTTTCAGATCCTTTTCTTCTGAGGGGAAATGGGATATATCAAAACCCTGCCTTCTCAGGGGGCGCCTGCCTGAATGGGCACCCCTTAGCCACACTTGAAACTCCCATCCTGCCTACAGGCACAGCTAAGAGGATACCCACCATGGTATGCTCTTCCCAGCACCAGCACCTTCCACCATAGTTTTCTGCTCTTCATTTCTGAAAGGTGGAGGTTTAGACGGGTGTTGAAAGTCAACCACATACCTTTTAGGTAGCAGCAAAGCGTCCAAAATGGCTAAGTCCCAGCAATCTCACGTTCCTTTGCAAAGTGAGACAATTGTTGTGAAGTGTCTTAGTCCTTTTTAGATAGAGGCTGGCAGCTGAGTTCAGGAGGACAGCTCATTTGTGACAGAATTATTCACCCACCTCCCACCTTAGGACATGTGCTGTTGGCTCTGCTCTTGACTATAAAAATCAAGATAGATAGAACAAAACGAGGAAGTCTCTGTCATATCCTGTCTCTGTGAGGAAAATCGCAAATTAAAATTCCCATGGAAAATGTCTCCCGCCCCCAAGGGTCTTAGAAGCAGGGTAAAGGTATCTGAGAGCTTTGTAGAACAGACTGCAAGTTGCAGAGGCTCAGAGCAGGGAAAGAATTTTCCAACTGGTTGCATGGGATCTCTAGCAGTTTGAGCTGGGGTTTCAGGCAGGAAGGGTGCATCCCTGGCCAGCCTCTCTCTTCTTACAGTCACAGTGAAAGCAATGAGACTTCTCACAAAAGGTTGGGAAGGTGCTTGTGCTTGTGTTCAACTTGTACTGACACAACCCTACCATCCTCTCCAGGAAAAAAAATCAGTAAAGAAATAACCTGGAGTTTTGCCACCAGCAAAATTTGCAAGAGCTGTTCACATACAATTTAGAATAGACTGGCGTGTTGAATTAGGATTTATCTAGAAGCAAAGCTCAAAAAAGAAGTAAGTACTACTCCCTTCACTCCATCTTGCCCTAAGCAACTTTGTTATTAGTGGGAAAGAAGAGCAGAGGACCAAGCTGTAGCCATCATCCTCTCTAAGGACAGGATAGAGCTGGGCACAGGGCAGCTCAACAAGGAAGGAGCTTCCAGAAATACTCAGTGTTTGGAGACAAGCCTGTGCACAGGCAAGGGATCTGCGTGAGTAGGTTTATGCAAGAACCAGTAAGCAATGCAGTGCAGACTTGAAGGTACCACACGTTTTCCAACAAGCTGGTAAGGCTGGAAATTGGAGCTTATACTTACACAAAGATGTGCTCAGAGCACAAAAGAGGCCAATTGGCAAGACAAAAGAGTGCTCAGGGACAGATTAAACTTTAAGTGGCTATTGAATAAAGAGGAAGATCTGAAAAGCAATAGGAAAAAGAGGAGGAGGGCAGGCAAAGATATTGTGAGTGAAAGGA